CTTACTTCTAAAATATTCTAATCCTTTTGTTCCAGGATGTTACACTTTGGCAAATGGCCTGGAAAGCGAACACTGTAGGCCTATTGAATTTCAACACATAATACAATCCAGATTTGCATTTCCTAAAGGAAAAACTAGTGCTTACAAGACAGCAATAGAAAAAAGTTAAAGTTTAGGTAAAATGATACAGGTTTCCCACGGTCATGGAAAACCCTGGCAATATGTGTGAATTATAAAACAGTGGATTTCCATGTTACGGAAATCAATAAGATTTTAAAAACTCAAAGACTTTTTTTTTTTAATAATTACAAATAAAGTCTATAGCCTAATATAGCCTAATAAGTAGGCTATTAATAAATGAATCTAAATAAGGCTGAAATGAGCTCCAAAACTAAGTTTGAATAACTGCATTCGTTTCAGAACTTCAATAATTTGGGTTCGAATATTATTCAGAGATTATATTTACATGATCTATATATCACATACCTGGCTTTTTGTCTGTTCAGGCTGTTTTAAGATCTGTGCCGGCTTTTAGGTCAGGTTTTTGCGGAATTTCCAGCTACGTTTATAGACGTGTATTCATTAAATTATTATTTTTATGTTGGACTTTTATATCACATAGAGACAATGCGATAAATTGTGTTTTGCAGACGTTTTACGTCTTTTTAACACAGAACCGGAAATAGTTTTGTTGTGAGTGTGACGCGTCGAGACGCGCGAGCTGTGAGGAGGAGCAGGTGATCAGTTACTATGGCAGCTTCCACTGCATTAACAGTGAATTATACTAGAATACAGACATTAACATCATATTTCCAGCATTGTCGATCAAAACGATGGATTAATCTGAAAACAGTCAACCGGAGAAGCCCTTTTTGTCAGTCACTGAAAAGGTTAGGACTGAATTTCCCCCCTGGTGCAGATAAACAAAGCTTGCATGTGTTCATATGCAAAACACGCGTGTTTTCTTACCGGAACAGCATATCATCCGGTTTGTAGAGTCTGTATCTATATAAACATGACATACAGGGCATATAGTCATTGTTTGAGAAGGTCGATTCATTCAGCAAATACATTTTGTGTGTTTGAATATTCCGCCACCATGTGGGTGTCATAGATACTGTCAATGAGATGCTTAAGCAGAGTTTTACATGCATTGCTGATGGATTATAACGGTTTTAATAATTTTTTCATGTGTCTAGCTCGGTGTATTGTTACATATATGCTATGTTTGTCACATAGACATGTTGCCACTGTGGTCTCAAGTTGGTTTGCCAACCGCCATTAAATCCTAAAAGAAGAAGAAGAAGAAGAACAGTGAATTATACTAGAATACAGACATTAACATCATATTTCCAGCATTGTCGATCAAAACGATGGATTAATCTGAAAACAGTCAACCGGAGAAGCCCTTTTTGTCAGTCACTGAAAAGGTTAGGACTGAATTTCCCCCCTGGTGCAGATAAACAAAGCTTGCATGTGTTCATATGCAAAACACGCGTGTTTTCTTACCGGAACAGCATATCATCCGGTTTGTAGAGTCTGTATCTATATAAACATGACATACAGGGCATATAGTCATTGTTTGAGAAGGTCGATTCATTCAGCAAATACATTTTGTGTGTTTGAATATTCCGCCACCATGTGGGTGTCATCGATACTGGCAATGAGATGCTTAAGCAGAGATTTAAGTACATTGCAGATGGATTATAACGGTTTTGATTATTTTTCCATGTGTCTGTCACGGTGTATTGTTACATATATGTTATGTTTGTCACATAGACATGCTGCCACTGTGGTCTCGGGGACAGAACTTGCTCGACAGATCCATAAAGAAGTCCAGAGTGATATAGCGAAACTAGTGGCCCAAGGCAACAGGAGACCTCATCTGAGTGTCATCCTAGTGGGAAATGATCATGCCAGCCACACTTACGTGAGAAACAAAACCCGAGCAGCTTCACTGCTTGGTGAGCAACACACAGTCAATATAAACTTCAACGTTTTGATATGGAGGCAATGGTTCACAGCAAGAGGCCCACTAGGGGGCCTCTGCAAAGTTCTCAGGAGGCCCCAATTAAATTTATTTAAATTAACATAATCCTAATTGAAATGCTAAAAAAATCCTAAAAAAACTAAACAAAAATACATACAACTTTATACTGATACTGTATATTTATTTTTTATGAGTTTGTTTTATTACAACAGATGTCATGGAGGCAATGGTTCACAGCAAGAGGCCCACTAGGGGGCCTCTGCAAAGTTCTCAGGAGGCCCCAATTAAATGTATTTAAATTAACATAATCCTAATTAAAATGCTAAAAAATCCTAAAAAAACTAAACAAAAATACATACAACTTTATACTGATACTGTATATTTATTTTTTATGAGTTTGTTTTATTACAACAGATGTAACAGAGGGTATTTACGGAAGCCCATTTCTGCCACGGAATAAATAAAAATGAAAGAGGTACTTGTAACTTTTTATCTCACAATTTTGATTTTTATCACAATTCTGAGATGTAAAAATTGCAAGATATAAACTCGCAATTCTGAGAAGAAAAGTCTGGATTTTGAGATATAAACTCGCAGTTGCAAGAAAATCAGACTTGTGAGAAAAAGTTGCAATTACCTTTTTTATTTTTCCATGGCAAAAACAAATAAACAATTGTGAGATGTAAATTCAAAATTCTGAGAAAAATAGTCAGAATTGCGAGTTGTAAACTTGGAATTGTGAAAAAAAGTCAGAATTCAGAGTTTCTATTGCACAATCCTGTGTTTATATTTTGCAAAGTCCGAACTGTGAGATAAAAAGTCGTAATTAGCTTATTTATTATAATTTTTTTAATTCTGTGGCAATAACAGGCTTCCATGCATATCGCATTAAATAGGAGGGCCATAAAATATTGTCTCAGACAAAGGTTGGCTTTAAATCAAAAATAGAACAACTTGTATAAAGATTTCAAGTTGCTTTTAAAAGCAAAGACAACTGTTTTTCTGCATTAATGCTTACTTTAACGTCTTTAATTTTACATAAAGTCACTGATTTTACAGTACGATATGAATCATGTGTTTACTAATCTCTTCTTCAAATATTACTTGTTTGACAAGGCATGTCAAGCAGCACAATCTTCAGGCCATCATCAGTATCTCAGGAAGAGATGTTGGAACTGATAGACAAATGCAACAGAGACAGAAGCATCAGTGGGCTGCTGGTCCAACTCCCTCTTCCAGGTACTGTATTTTTCTGCTGGATCAAAATGTGAAACTGCTAATGTAAAATATGAATTGCGAATAAAAATAGGGTCATTCATCGCTAGGATCTTTACTGTAGTGAAACAAGCTAAATCTAATGGTGAAAGTACTGTAGTTTTCTATTTCCTTAGCTAATAAAACCACAACTTGCTGAATGTATCTGGATCAGGTTTGCAATAGTGAATTCATATTTTGAATGCATCTCTCTCTGTCAGAGCACATCAACGAGAGAGCCATATGCAATGCTGTCGCCCCAGAAAAAGACGTTGATGGATTCCACATAGTAAACATTGGAAAACTCTGCTTGGACCAGAGGTGCATGGTGCCAGCCACAGCAGCGGCAGTGTGGGAAATCATCAGAAGAATGGGTTTGTGACGGCTTTCAGAGAACTGAGTAAAATCTTCTTTGAGTTGTAGAATAGTTTCTCAGACATCTCATATTGCATCCCCAGCAGAGATGTGATTGGGTTGCCTATGATTACATTAGTTAGCAGCAGGTATAACAACAGTATCTGATGTCAGTTTATTGATTCTGAGAAAAATAGTCAGAATTGCGAGTTGTAAACTTGGAATTGTGAAAAAAAGTCAGAATTCAGAGTTTCTATTGCACAATCCTGTGTTTATATTTTGCAAAGTCCGAACTGTGAGATAAAAGTCGTAATTAGCTTATTTATTATAATTTTTTTTATTCTGTGGCAGAAACAGGCTTCCATGCATATGGCATTAAATAGGAGGGCCATAAAATATAGTCTCAGACAAAGGTTGGCTTTGAATCAAAAATAGAACAACTTGTATAAAGATTTCAAGTTGCTTTTAAAAGCAAAGACAACTGTTTTTCTGCATTAATGCTTACTTTAACGTCTTTAATTTTACATAAAGTCACTGATTTTACAGTACGATATGAATCATGTGTTTACTAATCTCTTCTTCAAATGGTACTTGTTTGACAAGGCATGTCAAGCAGCACAATCTTCAGGCCATCATCAGTATCTCAGGAAGAGATGTTGGAACTGATAGACAAATGCAACAGAGACAGAAGCATCAGTGGGCTGCTGGTCCAACTCCCTCTTCCAGGTACTGTATTTTTCTGCTGGATCAAAATGTGAAACTGCTAATGTAAAATATGAATTGCGAATAAAAATAGGGTCATTCATCGCTAGGATCTTTACTGTAGTGAAACAAGCTAAATCTAATGGTGAAAGTACTGTAGTTTTCTATTTCCTTAGCTAATAAAACCACAACTTGCTGAATGTATCTGGATCAGGTTTGCAATAGTGAATTCATATTTTGAATGCATCTCTCTCTGTCAGAGCACATCAACGAGAGAGCCATATGCAATGCTGTCGCCCCAGAAAAAGACGTTGATGGATTCCACATAGTAAACATTGGAAAACTCTGCTTGGACCAGAGGTGCATGGTGCCAGCCACAGCAGCGGCAGTGTGGGAAATCATCAGAAGAATGGGTTTGTGACGGCTTTCAGAGAACTGAGTAAAATCTTCTTTGAGTTGTAGAATAGTTTCTCAGACATCTCATATTGCATCCCCAGCAGAGATGTGATTGGGTTGCCTATGATTACATTAGTTAGCAGCAGGTATAACAACAGTATCTGATGTCAGTTTATATTACTTACACATTCGAAAATATTGCTTTGCAATCATATCTGTATTTTGATGGTTTTTCCATGCCGTGGGCATTTGTGAAATTGAGTTATAAATGTTTACTCAAATTCTATACTAGCAGTCAAAAGTTTGGGATACCTAACATTTTTTAATGTTTATGAAAGAAGTCTCTTATGCTCGCTAAGGCTGCATTTTCTTTTATTAAAAAAATACAAACATTAATAATTATAAAATATTATAATCAATTTAAAATGTTTTTTTTTTCTATTTTAATATATTTTAAAATGTAATTTCTTTCTATGATGATAAAGTAGAATTTTCAGCAGCCATTACTCTAGTTCACTTGATCCTATTCTAATATGCTGCTAATTATTATTGGTGATCAGTTGGTGTTTAATATTTTTGTTGAAACTCCAATGCATTTTTTCAGGATTCTTTGATGAATAGAAAGCTCAAAAGAACAGCATATTTCTTAAATCTTTTCTAACATAGCCTTTACTGTTACTTGTTCTGATCTGTTACTGATCAAATGAATGCATCCCATAAGAGTATTTTTTATATATTTTTTAAATGGTAGTTGAATGATAGTGTGTCACCATTTCCACAAAAATATTAAGCAGCAAAAACTATTTTAACATTGATATTAATAAGAACTGTTTCTTGAGTACCAAATCAACATATTAGAATGATTAGACTGAAGTAATGGCTACTGAAAACGTAGCTCTGCCATCACAGGAAAAAAAATATTAAAAAATATATTTGAATAGAAAACAGTTATTTTAAATTGTAATAATATTTCACAATCTCAAACTGCAGCCTTGGTGAAAATAAGAGACTTCCTTTAAAAAGATTGAAAAAAAGATTGAAAAACGTAATTATTCCAAACTTTTGACCACTAGTGAATGTCCCTTTTTTTTCAGGAATTGAAACAGTTGGAAAAAATGTTATTGTCGTTGGGCGCTCCAAGAATGTAGGAATGCCTATCGCAATGCTGCTGCATTCGGATAGAAACCATGAACGGCCGGGAGGTGAGATTTGTGTCATTACCTTATTATTATTATTATTTGTTTTTGTGGTATTTTGTATTTTTATTTTTGAAATCCTATAATATATAGATGTGCTTGCAGTTGGAGTTTTGAAGTCCCAAGCAGCATCCTACAATTCACATTGCACTATACTCAGTTTTAACCCTTTTTTATTAAATTTTCTTGTTACAATATTCATGAACATTTACGTTTAAGAAATTACACCAACACTTACATTTCCCAAAAACCTAGACAAGGAAACTGTCCCAAAAACCCAAATGCAATGCATTTTTTAAAAATGCTAGATATTAAGATGACTGTAGCTTTGTTGTTGTTTTTTAATTAACAGTGTTTAGTTTGAAAGTACAAGTAGTTACAGCAAACTGATCATTCTGTGAAAAGTAAAACTTTGTTTTTATTTTGCTGTTTTTTCATTGCGATACGTTTTCAAAAGGCACATTTTCAGAATTTCAATCAATAATCTACAACCGAGTCACCTCGCTTTTTGAAGGGGAGTGAGATCATTGCGAATTACAAATTCACAGAATGAACTCTGGATGTGGCCGCTGATGACGCAAGCTGTCACATTACTATCAAGAATAAACATTTTTACCAAACCTGTAATAACCTTCTCAAGCAGTAATGGAAAACTGCTGAGAAAACAACATTCATCATCCTTAACCATGTTATATTTAAAATATATAGTAGGCGGTAGTATATTGTTTGTTTTAAAATCCATTTATACTGCATGTGTAAACAGAATACAAATAAAGACATGCAAAGTAAACATGTTGTTTTCAAAAATCCCTATTTCTTTGCATTGAATTAAACAGTGATTAAAATATTAGCTTGAACCTATCCTAAATAGTTTTGTGTAGTTTTGAATAGTTTTTACCTTGAAAAATGTTTGATAGTGCATCATAACTTTTGATTGGCATGTCTCCAGAAACAAGATCAGTTATAATTGTTAGAGGATTGATTTATATAGATATCAGTGATTAGGATTAGGTTTGTGCAAGATTTTGACGATTTCAACAGGTAAAAGGCAAGACATGTTTGAAGTGAGTTGTGAAATCTGATAGTAGGTTTTTTCACAATGAGAGAAACAGCCCTGAATCAGTTCTGCTACCATTTTATTGTGACTCATAGCCTTATAGTATAAAAGGTGAACATGTGATTACCTGTAGAAACTTCAAGGTTTTGGCAAAACCTCTTAAATATGTCTAATGTTGAGGTTCTGTGACAGGATGAGTATCGCATTATAATGAATCATTCCCGTCATTTTTAGTTACTACACCCGTGGAGTTACAGTGGCTATGTTAATTCCACAGAATGTAACCTGTGATTAGCCAAATTTGATAGCTTTTAGTTTATGTGGTGGTGGTGTACAGCTACACATTCTGGGAATTTCTGCTTATGAATGTAATCGTCATGCTGGTGAGCGGAAACCACCAACCATGAAAATTTTTTGTAAAAGATTGTGAGGAATGAACAAAAGATGGGTGTTGGCACTTTAAAAATGGCATGAATTTCCTGGTGCCTGCACACAATTAAATACTATGAAATGTTGAAATGTTTTAACATTGATTTTCTGGAAATTATTTACGGTGTGCATGGCAATCACATTTTAAATCTGAAACGGTTTAACTAACTAAAAACATATTATATTAGATTCAACAATGAAATAAACGAATAAACTAAATACTGTCTTTCAGGTGATGCCACGGTTATCATGGCTCATAGATTCACTCCTCTACCACGACTGAAGGAACTTGCCAGTCTGGCTGACATAGTGATTGCGGCTGCAGGTCAGCTCTTTGTGTCCTGGTCAGATACTCTGTAACATTATTACATGGCTATCTAGAATACTCTATTTTGATTGGTCAATAGCTGCATTCTGTGGTCAAATATCATTGTGTAATGACTGCTAAACTGTATAATTTATGAATTTATTACGTCCATGTATTTACTTATTTGGTAAGTATCCATGCAGTAAGTGGGATGATGTACAGTAAGCCATGTTCATTTTGTAATAATGACTAGCTGACTGTATTTTCCTTTACTTAGACTTTGGCTATGCAACATATTAATCCAGATCTGCACTTATTTTTACGGAAATACCAAACAAATTAAGTTTGAATGAGTTTGAACATTATCTGTATTTTATTCGAACTTGTGTTCTGTTATTCTAACATTTTAGTCTACAGCAGTGGTTCTCAAACCTCTCCATGAAGTACCCCCAGCACTGCACATTTTGTATGTCTCCCTATATCTGACACACCCACTTCAGGACTTGCTGTCTCCACTAATGAGCTGATGAGTTGAATCAGGTGTGATAGATGAGGGAGACATACAAAATGTGCAGGGCTGGGGGTACTCCAGGACATGTTTGGGAACCACTGGTCTACAGTGTATATAAATATTAATTGAATAAGATTTCTTTGTGAACGGTTGGTTTTAATCTGTAACAACAGGTGTACCTCACTTAATAACGGCAGATATGGTAAAAGAGGGAGCTGCAGTTATTGATGTCGGCATCAACCGCATGCAGGACCCCGTCACTGGTAAACTTCGTCTTGTTGGAGATGTGGATTTTGAAGGTAAATGACACACGACTGCTTTAGTGTTCTTATGGTACTCGTTTCAGAATCTTTTAGTTTAGTGTTACTTTAGTATTATTTTAATACTTTTTAATACTAATTTAGTATTAAACTAATACTAATTTAGTACCAAATACTATTTATGAATATTTTTAATTAGCTTGTATTTTAATATTTTCAGTTTTCAATTTAATTTTTGTTTTAGTAATTTTGTCGTGTTCTTTTGTCATTTTTATTTATTTATTTTGACTTAGTAACTTAGTAGTTCAACTTCCGCATTTCTCTTTTTTTTCCATGTTTTTTTTAAGGTAGGTTTTTTTCATCTCATATTTATATTTTAATTCAGCATTATTTTAAATAAAAATATTAATTTTTAATAGTTTTAGGTTTTAGTAAACAATAACAACACCAATATGGTTGATCCAAAAATGGAAATTATTTACTCACCCTGAAATCATTCCAAGGTAATGAGCTTCAAGCTTCAAAAAGGATGCAAAAAATTCATATAAAAGTACTAAAATCATCAATAAAAGTGGTTCATACAATGTGTGCGGTGTTTTACAAGTCTGCTGAAGTCAGCTTTGTGTGAAGCCATTATTCACCAACAGTTTGTCCCTCCACTGAGCTTTTAAGTCAGTGAGTTTAACTTGAAAACTGAATCAATGCAGTTCTTAAATTAATCATTTGGTTTGGTTTTGTGAAGAGAGTCATCTGATTCATTTAAAAGATCCGATATGAAAAAAAAAATTGGACAAGGTTTTCAGTGAATAATGATTTATAATTCAATCTGACTTGAGAAGGAAGATAAATAATATGGGTTTGGAATGACAGAATTTCATTCATTTTTGAGTGATCTGTTATAATAATTCTGCACGTGCGTCAGTCAGTGTATCTGATATCGTGTCTCAATCCCTCTAGGGCTCTGTTTGGCTCATTGTGTGTTGGTTGGTTGGCTGGAAGTCACTTAGCAACACGATTTATAGTTTGATTTCTTTTCACTTGGAAGTATAAAATAAATACTTGGCTTGGGCAGAGCTCTTAGTGTTATTTAAGACATGGTTTGTTTTTGTCTCCCTAATCAGCTGTGAAGAAGAAGGCTGGATTCATCACTCCTGTGCCTGGAGGAGTCGGCCCAATGACCATCGCCATGGTAATGAAAAACACAGTCACTGCTGCCAAAAATGCTCCAACATACTGAACAAACACAAAACCTGCCATTATGGGTGGACAAGATACAAGCACTTCAGTCTGGATACTTTAATTGGCACTATTTGTCTGTATCTTGATTATAAACACAAGCCCCTGCAAGCTTCCTCTACAACATCCTTCCCTGCCCGTCGGCAAGCTGTAACAGGCCGTTCTAGCTGGCACGGCAGCCATGCATGGCTATGACGGTAACTACACCCTAATTCTTTTCTTAAAAATTAGAGAGGTGCCTCCTCACTGATTCTAAGTAGCTGCTACAGTGCTACAGTATTATTATTTTGTCAGAGCCGAGAAAATAAGGAGGGTTTACTGTGCAAGTGTAACATTACCTCCCTGACAATGCATGGGTGAAGCCGGAAGTCTTCGTTGCATCATCCTCACTGAGAGTTTCGGTACGACTTGACTGGCTGCTCAACAGGTGACCTCATGGCAGGGTAATAGACGGTTCTCGGATATCTGACAGATGAATCTGTTGACACTGAGACAAACGGGACATTAACACATTTTCTCAGGAAATCATTTTAAAAGTGTAGTTTGAATTCAAAAAAACAAAATGGCAAAAAATAACACAAGGATGCTGCTGTATTTAATATTTATTTATTCATCTACCTATGTAAGGTATTATTTATGCATTGTGTATTTATGCATAAATGTGTTTATGTTTTTAAAAAATCCTAGTTTTTGTATAAATAGCTTGTATGTATGATTTTTAGCCCCATGAAGTATTTAATATTATTTTTCTGCTTTATTTATTAGTGTGATTTATGGCATGTTCTTGACATTAAACACTTTTTTTTTGGCATTTTACATTCAAACTGCCAATAAAAAAATATACATTTCAATATATCCGATGATTCCCTGAGACATTTCGTGGACATATTTTGCGCTATAAAAAACTGATAAAAAAATATAAAAATGACTTGAAAGCGAAGTCAGAGTAATTTGTGCTACTTGCATGCTTCTGAAGTTTTAAAATATAATATCTCTGAATGAGGAACAGACCAGAATTTTAAGTCACTATTCAATGAAAATCATCCCTTCCTGTGTAAAACTCAAGAATAGCAAGCAAAAACCATGACGTTTGGCGCCATTGACATCAAACGTGGCGTGACATGTCTTGGCGTGAAAATATATGCAAATCTGAATGAGATTTGAGAGATATGGCAGGAGTCAAATGGACTACTTTTACTGTGCTTTTTGTCATTTTTGGTCACCACTCGCTATTATTGTATGAAAGAGATCAGTTCAGATATTCTGACTAACGTCTTTTGCGTTACATGAGAGGGAATAAATGATGGCAGAACTTTCATTTTTGGTAAACTATCCCTTTTAAGGCTCTTGTGTTGCTAAAGATTTCACTTCAGAAATCAATATACCTATTTCAGTCTGTGACTCTTTAAAAAGGGATTTGATTCTTGCTGTTCTTAAATATTGGTGGTTTACAAGAAGAAGCTGTGAAGGAAAGAGTCTTCATTAATGAACCTGCTCATGGAAGATTTAAAGGCAGAGTTTACTCAAAAACCAACACTGTCATCATTCACTCGCACCCTCAAGTCATTCCAAACCTGTATGACTTGCTCCTGTGAAGCAGAAAACAAGAAATTTTGTGAAATACAATGGTATTTGTCAATAACCAAAATGTTTCAGTAGCCAACATCCTTAAAAATATCTTCTTTTGTGTTCCACAGAGGAAAGTAAGTTTACAACAATATGAGAGTGAGTAAATGATGACAGATTTTAACTTTTTGCCTTTAATGTGTAAAATGTTTTTTTTTTTTTTTTTTTAATATGTGCATGTATATATTTCAGAAAAATGTGCTGTTTATATATTAAATGTATTTATATATAATATAAATTATATGAATATAAATATATACATGTAAATATTTTCAAAACATATACTGTATGTGTGTGTCTTTATATATACATAATAAATATACACAGTACACACACATATATTATGTAAACAAAAACTGTTATTTTGGATGCGATTAATTGTTTGACAGCACTCATAAAAAAAAAATTAAAAAAAAAATAAATTAGAAGTTGGGAAATCAGTTTGATCATTGACAGTGCCAATAATTTAAGATTATTGCTTATTATGTGATATACTTAACATATCCAATTTGCTGTTGAGATAAATGTTCCGAATGGATCTTTCAAAATCATTAAAATATTTCATTGCTAAATTATGTCTTCCCCCATAAATGCTTAAAAATATGAAATAACTGATTCTCATTTTTTTTGGCAATTAGATTATATCTACACTGTGTCCAACAGCTAAATATGATGTCAAATTGCTGGTTACAAGTTACAGGCAAATATTATATAGACTGCAGAGTTTAGTACGTGAGAAAGGTTATTTTTTTTATTGTAATTAATAAAAAACACAAGAGTGACTACCCAAAAAAGAATAAAATGTGTAAAAATGTGCAAAGCATTCAAAATATGATGCTTTTTTTTTTTCAGGAATACTTCTTGCTTTCATTATGTGACAGGAATGTAATGGGACATGAGTGTCAGTAAAACATAAAATTTAACAATTAAAATAATACTTTGACTGTGTCTGTAATTAGACTTTTCTTTAATATCACTTGTGCCAATAACTATGTCAAAAGCCTGTTTTTGCAGCTGCAGGCAAATACTTTGGTCACTGAAAAAAAAAAAAAAGTGTGGCAAAACACGCCTGTGCACGCTGCTTGCCTGTGGACCAGGAAGTGATGCGGAGCATTGTACAGGTATGGGTAAAAGACTCTGGAATCACTGCAGTTCCTGTCACTAGTTAAAATGATTGGCTACCATTAGTGACGCAGAAAAGGATATAGAAGGATGGTATAAATTGTGGGGAAAAACCACTTTCATTTGGAGAGCAGCCGAAGTTTGAGGAAAACCGGACAAACCCAGTATCTCCAGTCAAACTGAACCTGTATTTGGGCCACAGCATGACACAACAAGTGGATAAAAGGTGTTTGCACTATCAGGGTGAGTTATAATACTTTTCATAACACAAAATAGATAAGGAGCTTACAACCAAATGACTGTCTACTAAAGTTACTGTCTACTTTTAGTTACTAAAATATAATCTTAAAACTCTATCAGTACTTGGATTGATGGTAGTGTTAGCCGTCTTCTCTGGACTTGGAGACACTAAAGAGAAGTCAGAGGATGCGATCCTATACAACACAACACACAGTAACGGTAAGTACTTCAAAATTATTATATATAATTATTTCGAAAGACTGCAACTTTTTTTTTATTTTTTATGTGTCTTACCAGGCTGCATTTATTTGATCAAAAAATACAGTAAAACAGTTTTCTATTTTAATATAATTTCTTATCTCTCTCTCTCTGTATATATACTCTAATTATAGTTTGTTGACATGTAGATGCTAAGTTACTTATAGTTAGTATGATGGCTAAAGTGGACTAGCTACTGAAATAAAGTGTGACCCTTTGTTTTATATGAAATGAGCAAACGTGTAATTTCAAATATGCACTGTGCTAAGAATGCAGGTTCTTTGGCATGTGGACACAAGTCTGAATGCCTATCCATTAAAATCACTACCCTTCATGCTTAACTGTCTGGGTGTATGTGGGTGTCTATCAGCAGGAAGTGGAGAGGAACCGCGAGTTTTGGCTATTCAAAGGCCCTGCGGTCCAGAACATGAGGGATTCTGTGTCAACGGTGCGTGTTCCTACTCCTCTGACCTGCACACCCCCATCTGCCGGTGAGACCAGCCACCAAAAACAACTCAATACATTAAAGATCCCATCAATCAGTTGACACTGATCAGGTCTTGATTATCTAGTTCATGTTTGTTTGATTAGCAGACTAGCAAGTTGCAAAGCTTGGGTTGTGGCTGTGATGTGAATAAAGCCTTGTGGATGTTTACAAAATGGGATGATCTCTTAGATATGTCACACCCAAATGTCCTGTTTCACAAGGAATCAACATATGGAAAAAGAACTGTAGTCAACAGGCCGTTTCATAGGGTCTTTAAACGATGGATTCCAAGACATTCCTAACAAATGTGATTTCTGCTGTCTTTAGGTGTGACAAAATGTATAGCGGTGTGCGCTGTGAACATGTTATTTTGGACACCCAACAACTGTCTAGTCCTGAAGAAGTCATTGGAATTAGCTGTGGTGTAGTTTTATTACTGGGAATCATCGTCGGACTGATGTACTGCTGTTTAAAGAAAAGGTAAAATCCTGAATACAGCGTAGCAACTGCTTTGTTTATTGATTCTTTTTTACATTTATTTCTTTATTTTAAATTGTTATTTAATTCCTTAAACTTTAAATGTAATATTATCAGGCAACTTTTGTAAATCAATGACAATGGAAGCATTCATTGAATGTTTAAATATTTTCTGGTTTATACTCCACAGGTGTCGGAAGTCATCACCACCCTACAAGAACTATGGCTCTGAAAACTCTGTTTAATTTATTGGGCCAGATATAATTCATGCTCTTAAATAAAGTGCTTTTAGGCCTAAGACAAGAAGGAGGACAAAATATCAAGACCGATTCTACCAGCAAGACAGGCCAGACTGTGGAGTAGAGACACTACACCCTCTAGAGGACGGATGGAAAATGGCAAGGAAACACTTTGTGAAACTTTGCAAATCTCCATGTTCCACAAAGGACACATTAATCAATGTAATGTATTACAATAGCTGTCACAATGGGAAAATGCAGGTTGTTCAAAACAATTATTTTATATTAATTACAAGTTATACTATAACTTGGGCACTGTAAAGTAAAAATAATTTACTAACATTTAAAAACTGCATGTAGATTGCATGCATTTTTGTTTATCCATAAGCAAATGTCCTAGGTTGCCTCCGTTATGAATGTATTATGTAAGTGCACATTGGTATTTATTGCTCAGCTATAAACATGATAATACTAAATATAAAAACTAAACTGTGCGAATGTACTTGTATCAGATATTTATTTATTGACAAATTTGTATAAAATTTGCACCTAAAATAAAATAAAAAAACAGTGAAAATGTCTTTTGTTTGAAATTACTGTTGCATTGCTGCATTATGATCTCAGCTCAAGCATTATTAAACTCAACTGTAAATGTATTGCAAGGTTTCATGTTGTAAGTTGCTTGAAAAATGAAAAGCAGATCCTATTATTAATAAAAAAATTCAATATGAAGAATAAATGTTTTTCTGTATTCTGAAAAGAACTATTTCCAAACGATAGATAGCAAGCACCCCTAATAATGACAATTAAAAACAGGTGTTTTTCATTTATGAATTTAATAGAGAAAAGGACAAAGGTGTTGGTACACTAAAGTGTTCAAACAGAAACCAGAATGTAATTTCTGTTTTCATAAAACAGTGTGTAATTTGGTACAAACATGTTTTATTGTAAATTGGTCAATCTGGATCACCAATAGAAAACAGGAAGAAAGTACTGAATATTCAAGTTATAGTCAAGCATTTGGAAAGACAGAAATCAAACTTTTTCAGTATGAAGTTGTGCCTGTGGCACTGGACCCAACATTACAAAGACGTACTGACAGGAAATTAAGGCACCTGTCTGTCCTGCTAAGCGTTTAGAAAACTTTCTGATGCTCCAGAGTTGTGTGAGGAATTTGCCCCAGCATCTGTAAAACATAAGAATGTTACATTGAAAGTTCAGACAATAGAAATCAAAATACAGTGCAGCACTGTACTTACGCCTCCCTCTTCTCAAAAGAGTGTTGAAAACATCTGTAAGAGTCGTTCTGTTGGAAGAACTGCTTCTGCCGTAGGAATGGGCTCCAGAGCTTGAAGTCTATGATAGGAAAGATGCCAATGTGTTTTGTAAAAATGTTTTTGCATGAAAACCTGAGAATAATAAACTAGGAAAATGTGTTTACATGTGTGGCATGAGATTCAGTGCCTCTAGTGATTCTCAATCTTCTTTTAAGTGTCTCCCGAACCTGTTAGGAGAAAAAAAAAAACAATCATCTCAGTCGTATTTTTTCAATACTTAGAAAGGAATGTTAAGCACAGTTCATAAAGCAGAAAACCCAGCTCTTACCTTCTTTTCCATCAGTGTTCCAAGGACCAGTATGAAGAAGCCCTGAAATTAGTGAACAGGTCATACAAGTTAGTTGTTCTTTATTTGATAAACTGTTATAATGATGTGAAATGTATAAATCCTTTAATACTCCAGGTTTAGTACAAGTTAAGATTAAACAACAGCATTTGTGACCATGGACCACAAAACCAGTCATAAGTGTCAATTTTTCGAAATTGAGATTTATACATCATCTGAAAGCTGAATAAATAAGCTTTCCATTGATGTAGGGTTTGTTAGGATAGGACAAGTCCGAGATGCAACTAATTGAAAATGTGGAATCTGAGGGTGCAAATCAAAATATTGAGAAAATCACCTTTAAAGTTGTACAAATTAAGTCCTTAGCAATGCATATTACTAATCAAAAATTAAGTTTTAACATATTTATGGTAGGAAATTTACAAAATATCTTCATGGAACACGATCTTTACTTAATATCCTAATGGTTTTTGGCATGAAATAAAATGGATAATTTTTACCCATACAATATATTTACTTGTATTATATTTACTACTTATGACTGGTTTTGTGGTCCAGGGTCACATTTGTGGCATAATATTGATGGATTATTGGAAAAAAAATTGGATTATTGGAAAAAACCCAGTTGTTGATTGGATAGAGGCAGATCTGAATATGAGCTTGCGGTCGATTGTAAGAAAGGATTTTTTGCGAACTAAATGATATCTTTATAAAAGCATTTACACTAATTGTTTTGTGAAACGTTTGTATTACATGAGCTGTGAATTTTTTTAGAGCACATTTTTGCTGTCATTTTAGGGTTTACGGCTTTATCTTGTCATGACAATGAAGCTGTAAAATTGGATTTAATTTTGTACTAAAGATGGTATTTTTTCCAAACCATTTAAAGGAATAGTTCACCCAAAAATGAAAATTCTGTTATTAATTACTCACCATCATGTCGTTCCAAACCTGTAAGACCTTAATTAATCCTCGGAACACAAATGAAGATATTTCTATATAAATGCATCATTCATTCATTCATTTATACCACGTTCAAGACCCAGAAAGGTAGTAAGAAAATGGTTAAAGTAGTCCATGTGACATCAGTGGTTCAATCTTAATTTTATGAAGCTACGAGAATATTTTTGTGCACAAAGAAAACAAAAATAACAACTTTATTCAACAAATTCTTCTGTTCATGTTCATGAGAGTACCATGTGTGGTGCTGCTGACGCAGGAGCCAGCGTTCTGACGTAGAACGTCCATCTCTCTTAGTTCACCGTCTTCTGCTTCAAATAAGTAAGGTTGGGCAAAAAAAATTGCAAGCCGTCCTCTGTTGAAATCTTCAGATATGTTTACGAAGACTGTTTTATGTACATCATGTGTCTTCTGCTTGTAAACATGGTGTAGCGCATCTGGGTTCTACAACAGAACGCCGGCTCCTGCATTAGGACTAACAGGGAACAGAAGAATTTGTTGAATAAAGTCGTTATTTTTGTTTTCTTTGCGCACAAAAAGTATTCTCATAGCTTCATAAAATTAAGATTGAACTACTGATGTCACATGGACTATTTTAACAATGTTCTTGCTACCTTTCTGGGTCTTGAATGTGGTAGTTGTGTTGCTGTCTATGGAGGGTCAGAAAGCTCTCAGATTTCATCTAAAATACCTTAATTTGTGTTGCGAAGATGAACGAAGGTCTTCCAGGTTTGGAACGACATGAGGGTGAGTAATTACTGACAACTAACCCTTTAACATTCATTTTGGCCCGATTGGTAAATGCCTCACAGTAAAGCTATGGTCATTTTGTTCAGCAAATTTTTGTGGTCAAAATCCAGGCATTTCAATAGGATTCCATGCCATTGGAAATTGGGGGGAAAAGACTTCCCCACGCAGATTTTTGCATGTTTAAGCTAGCCGCTAATTTGCTATGTTAACCAAAATAAAGCAGATTGGTTTGAAAGTGACTTTTGTGTGACTTCAACACTGTACAACAAATTATGTTGATTAAGCGTAACCCAGAATATTCCTTTAAAGTGATGGTTCACCTCAAACATGAAAACTGTCATTATTTATTCACCCTCAAACCTGTATGAATTTCTTTCTTCTACTGAACACAAAAGAAGACCTTTTTAAAAATTTTGATATCCAAACAGTCGCTGGTCTCCAATAACTTAAATAGAATGGAAGAAACAAATGCTATGGACGTCAATGGGGACCAGGAACTGTTTGGATACCAAAGTTCTTCAAAATGTCTTCTTTTGTGTTCAGCAGAAGAAAGAAATTCATACAGGTTTGAAACCACTTGAGCGTGAGTAAATTATAAAGGAATTTCCCCTTTAAAGTTGATGTTGAAAAGTTAAGTGAACTAAGTGAACATTTATACCTGCAAGGAGTTGAAGATTGCAAACAAGTAGTGGATGGCCAAAGCTTTAGGCTCTATCATGATGCCCAAGCCAAGACCCCAAGTGATGCCAAAGATGGGCGTCAAAATGGCCACACATCTGAGAATCGTCACCAAGGTGTTCTTTTCGTCTCTGTTGTTCTCTCCCACTCCCCTCCTGAGCATTTTCACCAAAACTATTATCACAATTATTATATTGACAGCCACAATGAACAGAGCTGGTAGGACAAACGCCAGAAGGGCCTTGGACTGGTCCCAGTTCAGCCAGCATGCTTCATTCTGTGTGACGTAGTGTTTATTTCCAGCAGTGGAGGCGACGGTAATAACCGAGATAAGGAGAGGTGCACCGTAGCCCAAAAGAAAGGCTAATGCCATCATGACTGATTTGGAAATCTGAGAGAAGACCATTGTGGTGCGGTAGAGGAGAAGAAGGGCTGAGACCAGCATCCAGAAGAACAGCGACAGGTAGAAGAAGTGGGTGAAAAACACTGCAGCGCTACATGAGTTAGTAAAGTCCGTTCCAGGCTTTACGATAGCAGCGCCGATAATGAAGCATATGTCAGCGATCAGGAGAGAAAGAGCAATATTGACTAAGGATGTATGCCGAACGTGTGATGTAGAGTTTCTAGATACTTCCTTCCAGATGATCATTTCGATGATAAGGCACACAACCAAGCTTGCTATTGAAATAGCAACACCAACGTATGTAATGACAGACAAAGCAAGATCGTCAGGAGCAAAAGGGGACATCAGTAATGAAAACGAAGTGGTGTGATTACAGTGACATGTGACACTGCCGTTTACCCGTATGACCTCACATCCCGTTGAGTCCCATCCTCCGGAGCTATTAAAAAGGTTGAACTCCCAGAAAACACATTGGGGGTTCCCTAGGTTTACTGAATTATTATTTAGAGTTACCGAATTTCTGAGTTTTTCAAAGTTTAGCTGTATGTTGTTGATAGATACGCTTGTATTCACTACAACAATCAGTCCGTTGATGACATTTTCAGTTGTATTTTGGTTATCGGTACGATTTCTTGCAGGCATAACGTTGCCCAGGGAGGAGAAGGCCACTGCTGTGATTGTAACGTTTTTATGACTAGATGCAATATCCGGGATGATTATTTCAGCTGTTGAGTTGAGCTTTAATACTTCCCTGAAGTCTTCGGATGTTGTTGCTTTTTTGAACAGGAATGAGTTGGTTGGACTGGTTATGTTGAAATTGGTGTCTGATGTTGATTTTATAACAATTTCAATGGCATTCAGGAGTTGAGAGCTGCTGCCTTGGCTTTCGCCATTTGAATTTAACTGTTCCCATACAGGTTTCACTGTCTCTGATGAAATGGCATCCACTATACTGAGGAAATTCTGTAAGATAAATGATGCGAGATGTTAAAAGGCATCACTTTTAGATGATACTACTGCAGTTTCTCAACTTGAAGGGCAACAACTGAATGAAATTTATATTTAAAAAAAATAATACATAGAGCCACTAAAAACTCAAGTCAACT